TTGGAAACATTGCAAACGTCCTGCTCATCGAGCGAAACATTGGGTACATCGCGAAATTTATAACCATCAGCGTTACTTTGATAATTAGTAAAGTAGGAATAACATATAATCTTTCATATAATTCGAAATATATTACCCTAAAGTACCAAATACTTACCATTGTGGCTAGTTTGATAAGCGTAAGCTGCCCAAGTTATTCTCGTTACGAACGCTGCAGTTCAGTAACCACTGTTGTTTTGGAAACGGATGTAAACAAAATACCCGGATGTATGCGACGTCATAGCTAGCTAGCGCCAACGTTTTTTTTAATAAACGAAAGATTTGTTAATGTCATCCGCATAGTGGCATTGTGACGTTCGCGATACTGGTGTCGCTGTTTAGAATTAAACTTTGAACTGTTATCAGTACCATTACACAATTATTACCTACTCATTGAACTGTGTAAGCGCGCGAAGTTCGTAGACCTTTAACTATCGGATTGGACATTTTCCTATACGTGGCAAGTATGATGCGAAATGTTTTTAGACAGGCGCTGTGTTCCTTTAAAATTCAGAATCAGCTGCGCTGTGTTAACTTTTCAAGGACATCATCGACAAACCAAGAAAGGAAGCCACATGAAGGAAAAGTTGCCATAGTTACAGCATCCACTGATGGGTATGTACAAATGCAGTAAAGGTTGCATGTTACGTTAAAGGTTTACGGTTTACTGTCAGAATAATTGCAGTTTGGTTGCATGGTCCACAGTCCCTCTAATAGGGACCACATGCATGATCACTCGATCCCCTGGGGCCATTCGCCGTGATTGAGGTCATCTATTGTTGTGGACAAAATTCCCATCTCAATGGAGGTCAAGAATCGGCAATTGCACTATAACATAATAATAGAAAAAGAGGCACACATTAAAATCAATCAATCAATATATATTAACAGTTAAGTCAATCCCCCCCCCCAGGTAGAGAAAAAAGATTACGAATAAAAAATAAATCAGAAGAAGAAAATTTAATTTAATTAAAAAAAGCTGCAAGTGCCATCAGTGGGGCTATAGCTTTCAGACATCTATAGTTAATGTTATAATTAATGAGGTCATGTGACTGCCATATGGGTATTTTAAAGCGGGATGGTCGTCACCTGTGCACGCGCAGGAATTGAGTTCCAAGCGATGATAACAACACATGCTAAGAACGCAAAGGCTCATGGGTAGACACTTGTTTGTAAACAATGACACGCTATGACCACCTTATGCATGGGTAGGTGGCGACTCCCCCGCTTTAAATGTTCAATACCATTAGATCAAAATGCAGTTGGTTGAGGGTGGCTGACGGGCTACATACATACCAAATATCAATTTGATTTGTTAAAGCATTTCAAGATGGTGGGATAATCACATGAATGATCCACATTATTTTATTTTTCTCATAAAAAACTTACAATGGAATCTCATAGTTTGAAAGATAATTGTGAAATGCATTTTCTTGCTGACCTAAATTACTTACTTTATTGAGGGATATAAAGCAGTATATGATAATATTTAATAAAACTATCCTAGTTTTTTTTTTTATTCTTCATAAACAGGATTGGATTTTCAATAGCAAGAAAGTTGGCTCAGAACGGTGCACATGTGGTGCTAAGCAGTAGAAAACAAAACAATGTGGACAAAGCTGTGGAAATATTGAAATCTGAAAATTTAGATGTATCAGGTTTAGTGTGTCATGTCGGGAAAGCCAGTGATAGAGAAAACCTTATCGAAAGAGTAAGTGTGAGTTTTTTAGGGGATAATAATTACAGTAAGCACAATAATTATTCAATAACTGTGTTGAGTGATGTCATAAAGACACACAGGAACTCCTGCAAAGTTGCTGCTGATTGCTGTCAAGAAACTTTTCAAATGAAATTATCAACATGCCAACTGGAAAAACATATTTTGTGAATAGCTATTGTAAATCTGACCTTGCATCTTGGCCAAGACTCTTCAGCTTTGTCAAGATGCAACATTTGAAGTTCTTTCCCAAAAGTACAGTATTACCAAACTATGGTTATTTTGCACTGAATGGTAATTGCATTACATTTCATTTACAGACTGTGAAAGACCAAGGTGGGATTGATATGCTGATTTCCAATGCAGGAATGAATCCAGTGTACGGACCAATTCTTGATGTGAGTGTTATCTTGCTTAATGTCCCGGAGATGGACTAGATATAGATGACATCCTTTCTACCAGTACACTACTGTCTATGTGTATCTGTTGGGGTTGCTAGAGACAACTGTGTGTGTTACAAGAACACCTTATTCCTCTTGCCCTAACAAATTGGCATTGTCTTTTACATTATTTTATGGCTTAGAATAAGAATATCCAGGGTATATTGTGTTGAATGTTGCCTCTTGCGCAGACCATGAATGTTACCTCTTCCGCAGACCATGAATGTTGCCTCTTGTGCAGACCATGAATGTTGCCTCTTCCGCAGACCATGAATGTTGCCTCTTGCGCAGACCATGAATGTTGCCTCTTGCGCAGACCATGAATGTTACCTCTTCCGCAGACCATGAATGTTGCCTCTTGCGCAGACCATGAATGTTACCTCTTCCGCAGACCATGAATGTTGCCTCTTGTGCAGACCATGAATGTTACCTCTTGCGCAGACCATGAATGTTACCTCTTCCGCAGACCATGAATGTTGCCTCTTGCGCAGACCAGGAATGTTACCTCTTCCGCAGACCATGAATGTTGCCTCTTGCGCAGACCATGAATGTTGTCGCTTATGCAGACCATTACTACACAGTGAACACTTGTCCAAAATTATGTCGCACACAAACATTTGGTTGAATTTTGTCAATCAGTCTAGGCATGTATGTAATAAAAATATTGACATCCCAAATATGTGTGTTTTTGTTCTTGGACAAGTAGAACATTTGCCAGACTTTATGTCCGGTGCAAACGCCCATATTCCGCCAGTATTATATACATGTAATTTTATCAGTTGTTTGCAATAGTTTACACCCCACCCTAGCAAAAATGTATTAAATTGCATGCTGGTAAATATTATTTGTAGTGCAATTCGTGCTATTAATTATTTGCTTTTGTAATAACAATAATTCTAATTTTGTTTTTTTTCAGACTTCTGAAACAGCATGGGATAAAGTAAGAAATGCTTTGTTTTTTCAATCATTTCACTTATTTATTCCTACAAATGTTTTGATTATTTTTACAGATCTATGCATGCTGCACAACTAAATATAAAAATAAATTCTAAAAAATCATAGGTAACTGAAAAAATGAATGAAAAACAATTAAACCAATGTCGAGTTGAAATAATTACGGTTTTCCTTCTATTTTTAGATTTTTGAAATAAATGTCAAAGCAGGATTTATGTTGACCAAAGCTGTGGCTCCACATATAGAAAAGAGAGGGTGAGTACGAATAAAAGTTAAGATCGGTGGTGCGCATTTGACCTCTAATAGGGGGCAATAATTTATTATATTGTTTTTATTCATTAGTGTTACTGGTACATATTTTTTTTTCAAGTATCAAATATTCTACTACATATATTATGAGATATGATTAGATATCTTTCACCATAGTAACCATGATGAATGGCCCAATATCATCATTTCCAGGGATAATTGACAAGTGTTTCATGCAAAAATTAGTTTGTTTATATCTGTGATTTGTGAATAACAACAAAAATAAAACTATATTATAATAATAATAACTTTATTACACAACTGCACCATCAGTGGGTGCTGTATGGTAAGGATACAGATCAGAAAAAAAAAACACAAATAAACAAAAACAACAAAAGTTTCAAAATTACAAACAAAACAAACTAAAGGGTATATATAAATACGTATTGCAATTAGGTTTTATAAATTGTGTTTTTTAAGTATTTTGCAAGTGCATGCAGTACTACTATTTAATATGCAAGTGAATATTAAATTTTGGTTGGCTGTTTTGCACATTTTTTATTTACAGTCTTCTAAGAGGGTATTTCTTTCAGTCAAGAATGAAATGTTCTTCATCTTCTACAGTACCTGCATTTTTTACACAATCTGTAGTTTGCCTCAATTCTTAGAAATTTCCTCCTGCCTAATTCTATTTCCAAATTATGGCACTAAGTCGAAACTTATTAACCATTCTTCCCAAATTGAAGTCCTGAATTTCTGTTATATTGTTAATTCTCTATTTTTGGGCAATATTTTTGGTAAAAAATGCTATTTTCGTCTTATTCTTGAAAACTACCAGATCAATTGCTTTGATACTTAAAATTAATATGTAGGTACCTTTGGTGAACCTATGTCAGATTTGTTCATTTCGAGATTATATTTTCAATTTTCTATTTTTGGCAAATATTTTTGGCATTTTGGGTAAAAAAATTTATTTTCGTCTTCTTCTTGAAAACTATCAGCTCAATTGCTTTGATACTTGGTATGTCGGTACCTTGGGTGAACATCTGTCAGATTTGTTCATTTTGTGACGATATCTTGAATTCTATATTTTTCGTAATAGTTGCTACATTACCCGGTATCTTTAATTTTGCTAACAACTTTGATATGGTCAAATGATGAGCAATTGATAAACATTTTACAACATAATAGAAAACAAGTGTATCAATGTTTGCATCAAAAGAATCATTTGAAGAATGAATGTAATGATGATGATTCTTTAAGAACCACAACCATATAAGCACAATTTGGTGAATTTTTATTGTTCTATAAATAATTTTAATAAGGTGATTAATATTTAATGCAAATAAAAGATGTTTATTGTATGTAATTGCAAACCATTGTCTGCTGCAATGTTTCTATTAATTCCTGATTTCCGAATTACTGTCAGACACATAATTTTATTTGCGCATACGTAACCTACCTAGCAACAGGCGAGGGTAAGACAAAAATATAAAAAGTCAAAAGAGGTAGACATGCAACCCGGAAGAAGTCAGCGGCATATTTTAAACAGTTTTTTTAAAGATAGCGGAGTGAGTGTGGGTGGGTACAAAGGAGGGCAGCTAGAAGAACTATTTAAGACAGCTGAGAAACATGCATTTTTCATAGGAAATGAACTGAAATAGAGATGGTACGTGTGTGTTTGATGGAGTAAAATATGACTCCCAAAATACCCCAAAAAAATATGAATATATTTCGCTATAGCCAAAGATAATTTGCATGCTCATTATTCTTGCTTAGGCAGAATAGTGTGCAAATTTTCAGAGGCTGGTACGAGTTAGTAAAAGATGATTGCAGTTTTATTTAAGGGGAATTTTTACGTTGCGAAACTGTGATGTTTGGTGCACTATGACTCTGTGTGTTCAGAACGTTCAAAATCTGTCCTACCTACTGGTTTGTTGACCCCAGGTCACACGATATGTGCAAGCACATAAATGATGAACTCGCAAACGCTATCAATTTGGGAACCGGGAATTGCAAATATGTTATTACCATACCTGTTTTATTATAAGTGCTTATGTAAATGACAGAGATGAATCTATATATGGTGAAAGTAATTGATTTCAATGATGTAGTAATTTTTGGTTTATATGAGCTAATATTGGAAATGCAGATTCAGATTCAGAAATTCAGAAAATGTGTACCAGATTATAATGGATAAATAATAATATTAAATACCATACTTTTTTTTTTTAACTGGTGTTGAGCAGTGGTGGTTCTATTGTGTTTGTGACGTCTATAGCAGGGTACCAGGCATTAGAGGTATGGCATAGTAACCCTCATATGAGTATGACTAGTCATTATGTTATGATAATATGAGGTTATAGGAGGATACTTTGAGGTATCCTCGTAATAAACTTAATATCATTTTTTCCTTCCAAGGATACATCATAGGAATTCGGAAATCCAAAAAGTTTAGAACAGAACTTCTTTGTGTGGAGTCCAGTCAAACTCTGGTGGCAGCCATGTTTATTTTTATTATTACGAGGACGCTTACGCATGTAATCGTTCCATATTTGGAATTCGCTTTTCCTAATATGGTAGGATGAAAATACCCCAAAAAATACCCCAAAATTACGGCACGCTGTAAGTGGTGGTGTTACAGTGGACAGATGTATAATTATACATAATATGCTTACACTTTTATTAGCTCTGCTGACATTGAAGATGATAAAGTGGATCTGTCTATATAGGGAATTGTTGTACATGTATTTTTGAATTCTTGATAATTGCCAGTCTAGTGGCTTTATATGTGCTTACATTGGATGGACCTCTGTCAATTACCAGTCTAGTGGCTTTATATGTGCTTACATTGGATGGACCTCTGTCAATTTTGTAATGATGTCATTAATTCTTTTTTTGTCAATTTTGGTAACAAATTATATATTCACAACTGTTAGCTTTGATACTTGATACTACATGCACAGCATTTGAGTGTGTTTTTTTTTGGGGGGGGAGGTAGGGTATCATGCATGTGCAATCAATTGAATGACAACAATTTGGGGTATTTTATTAGATGGGTGTGTCCTTAACAACCACTCTTCACTTGAATATACAGTTTTGTATGTACATATATGTAACTGTGAATACTCATCTAACAATAGAACTTGCACAATAGATGCATATATAGTAGCTACAGCTGTAAATATTAGTCTTTATAATGCTGTGGCACTTTCTAGTCAGTGTTATGTCAAATATGAATACCAGACACTCTGTACGACAAACCTGATTGGATAATGCAATTTTAGAATGTGACATCACTGACTGGTTACCTTCTAAAGGGTTTCTGTCTTGACTAAATTATTTTTGGGATAACTCTTTGAATGCTCTCACTATATATGTATGTACCTATTTGCCGTTTCTCTCAATCTTTCCTTGGCAAAGCATAATAGTTCCTCAACTGAACCACCACTGCATGCTGAATGAACTAATCTAAACTAATTACTACAATTTAGTAAAAATGTTGCCAATAAAAAATAAACTATTTGTTTAATCGCAGACAATAAACTGGCTGCTATGTACTTTCAAAGAGCTGCTTTTCTGTATGCAAACGAATAGAATGCGCTAAGAAGCGATGTACACACACAATTCTGATGTTACAAAACATGGAAATGCACACATTTGAAAAAGAATAACAAAAATTTGGGACCCATAATATCACATTGATTAAATTAATAACCACTATACCATCATTTCTTATCATTACAGCTTATAGCAGCATACAGTGTTTCCAAGACAGCAATATTAGGACTAACCAAGGCGCTTGCTCCACAATGTGCACAAATGAATATTAGAGTCAATGCAATCGCACCAGGAATTATAGAAACAAAATTCAGTGAAGGTGTAAGTGTGAAATATTCCTTGATATATACCGTGTATGGTTGTTTGTAGAATCTCTAATTTATCATGTTGCATATGTCATGTGTGTATACCATTTAAATATGTGCTTGGTTTTTTGTGATGATAAAGTGCTACAGTAGTTACAATGCTACATGCACAGTTCTGACAGTGTCGCTTTAATCCCTCTTTCTCTTCAACCAATATTTTTCTCAAAACTAACACAGTGACCATGTGATACAAGATATTAAAAAATAGTCAAATA